GCAGAGTACGCAGAGATACACACGCTGTTAACCCCTGGTGTGATCCAGAAATCCACAGCCACCCCAATCAATGTGAATGAAATAAAATCCGCTTCGCTTTTGTCTTTTTCCCTTACTTTTTTTTTGTGTGTGGTCAGCATGGGAAATGCATGAATGAATGAATGAGTGATAGACGCACGGCTGACCAAACAATATCGGATTTATCTATCTATAAGTTCCGAAACTAAATAAAACATTTCAAAAGCCAGCGAAAAAGAGGGGCAGCAACGATTTAATAAAAAGTTATCTCATCATAAACATAAACTTTATTTAATTTTTCCACCGAGCCAACTATTTTTTATGAGCGTAAAACAAAAATCGGTATATGAACCAACTTGATCACTTAATTAAACCGCTTTTTAACCCACTAAAAAGTAAACTTTTCCGCAATCAATCAATCACGCAAACACAAATTTCCCCCCTCATCGAGTTTTCCACCGCGTGCGGAAAATTCAAAGGAAGTGAGCAAAGCTGACGCAAAACTTTTAACCAAATGACCGGCGGAAGGGGGGCAGGGAAGTGGGCTGGGGTGGCATTTTCCACTGGGAGTTGCTGTCAGGTTTCCGGACCACAAGCGAGAAGTTCAATGCTCCTCTGGCGGTGGCAACTTCACTCCATTCGCCGGCAACATAATGCAATTTATGAAACGGGAGCTCTCCCCACCAACCTCACATGGCCCCACCATATAGCATATCCTCAGCTTAACCACATTTAAAGCGGGCCAACTAGCGCACTAAACGAAACTTTTAGGCCCGCAACACGGCTAAAAATGAGGAATATTCATCACAGTAATGGACTTTTTTGGAATTCCCATAGGCCAAGGAATAGCAAAAGAAATTTTGAAAGAATATTCAGTAACGTTTCAGCTTATATAACTGTCATTATGTGGGTCACCCATGTGCTAATTGCCGTAATTATGTACAAAATGCTACACTTAGCAGTGGCCACGCCTAAACTATTATTCAAATGAAATAATGAAGTAACTTGCAGAGATCAATTGTACAAGCCCATTTCCCACCAAAATCTGAAGAATAAATAAAAAAGGCGAGACGAAGAGAGTCGGAGCTTGTCATACATATTTTTTCTCACTGGGTGTGTCCGATAATATAATGCCGACATACCTGAAAAAATGAACTCACACATCGGGAAAGATATAAGCTTGAATTGGTTTTGAGTCACCATTTGAGTCTGGAAAAAAGCTCCATAAAACGACGAAGCTTTATTTGTTGTTTGTTTAAGGCAGACAACAAACTAAATGACAAATTCGATCAAATAATTGCCGACAAAGAACTGTTTGCATCTGCGGAAAATGAAACACGATCGCCTGAAGATCGCATAAATACAAATATATAAAAAGATAAAGATAAACCCACTTTATTGAGTTGTGTGTTTAAGTGCAGCTTGTTGATTGATCAATTAAATCGCAAACGGAGATTGGCAACACACATAAGTTCAATAATCTGTAATCGCTCGATAATTTGTATTACGTATTGCGTGTAATATCCAGTAATAGCAGTTAACCAATTTAAAAGTAGTTTGCAATGATCGTTTGAATGTTCAAAAACTCAATTAAATATTTTTATTTTGAAATACCATTTCCCTTTCAAACTCTGCGTTTGTTTCAGTTTAATTAACAAAAAAGCCATGCCTCCTTTTTCTACGCCTCTTCACATTTAACCCAAATGACAAGAGGGTCCAAGTAGCCCCATTGGGCATGAAAAATGGTGAAAATGGGGAAAATGCAAAAAAAGAAGTTGGCGCTGGCTGCACAAGAACAAAAACATAGCGAAAAGCTAATGCAAATTGCTCTCGCCACTCCTGTCTGTCTGTCTGCCTCCGTTTTTCCCTTTTTTTCTTCTATTTCTTATTTATTATTTTTTTTTTTTTACCTTTTTCGTGTATGTGCAACTGTGCCACATGGGGCTTTTCTCTGGCGTCTTTTCCCGCTTTCCACCCGATTTCCCAGCCCGAAAACACTTAAAAGTGCAATGCACTTTTTGACGCCGGCAGAGCAGCGGTACTAGCACCTAAACAAGCCGCAAAAACGGCTGATAAAACAAGCGAAACCAAGCAATGCACGTGGCGAAAAAAGGAGTAGAAAGTACAACCCAAATATTATTCAGAAATTCAAAAATGTACGACAAATATCTCTCTCTCTCTCTATAATAAATCAAGTAACTCAGCTTTTATTATCAAAAACAGCTCGGCTCTTATTAAATACATATGTTTACATATTTTAAACATGCACATTTTTTCTCAATTTCGAAAAGGGCTTGGCAACAAAAAAAATATAAGTAAATGTAAAAGAACAGGCATCTAAGCGCGATAAATTTTATTTTATTTACCAGAAAAACATATCAAAGCAAATCGGAAATGAAAAATAAAGTAAAATGAAAAAATTTTGATAAACTATGGCAATGAGGCAATGAGTGATGACATCAGCACGCTTCAGATTTTCTGTTTCGCGAAGTGAAAAAAGAAAAAACAGTCTTTCCTGACTTTTACTATTGATTTTGTGAACCAAAAAGGATTTTTTTTCGGCCTGAGGCCAGCGACATGCGACATGCAACATCTGAAATGACATCATAAAAGGATTTTGTTCGTGGCCAACGGAATTGGATTAAAAACTGGTCACAAAAAGAGGCAGAAATGTGGAATGAAAATGACGCAATCGCCATCGCCATCGCCAGCTGTTCAAGAGATGAAAGACTAAAAATGAGATCCGAGAAGTCCGTCCACATGGTAGAGCTTCGAAAAAGATACAGATCGCGGCGATGATATCAATATATATCCAACACACATACACGCATAAATTTATAGGTATATAATGCATGTATGTATTTATCCACTTGGAAAGCACACATTTTTGTATATGCTGCTGATTCCTACCAGTTCCCCCAACTTTTTGGGGCGTTCCATTTTAATTATAACAAATGCCAGGCAATTGCACGCAAAAAAAAGAAAATATCAACATAAATCTCGCATAAATTGCCAAATACATGAGAGTCGGTAGATGGATATCGATGATATCATATTATGTACATACGATATTGTATGTACATTCAGCAGCCGTCAGAAGTGACAAAACCAATAAAGAACATCAAGTGTGAATCAAAAATTGATCTACTCAAAAGTAGATAACGCAAATTACAAAAGCCCCAACAGAATTGATAAATGAAAAATGTTCGCCTCTGGCGTTCAAGAACAATTCAATTACGAGGGAAAACACCCAAGATCAGAAGTGCCAATGGAGAATATGTATATTCGAGGTTTAGGAACGCAAGCTATAAGAGCAGGTCCCCAAGTAATCCAAGTAAACCCTTATGAGATTATAGAAGATATAATAGTGGAGAGTGATCAGGGAACTTCATTTGCTTTACTGTTGACAAAATGCAAATTTTATATTCCCGCTGAAGGAGAGAGAGAGAAATCACTAGAGAATTGACAATAGCAAAGAGGCGAAGCATGAACATAAAACTAAATAATAGATGCGTTGTACATATTCAAGTGGCCTCGATTGTGAGTGTCCATTTCAGTACCTACTCAATTAATGAACTGCTTTAATTATGCTTGACTTTTTAAATTGTTCATGGCATTAATTATAGGGGATGTTTCTCTATCGGTAATGCACAAAGCTTCAGTGTTACGTTTCAAGTTCTTTGCTTATCGCTTTCATTGAAAACGATCCCCGTTACTGGAGGTTATCCTCATTGAAAAGGGACTTGAATTTATAAATATTAGTCATTGTTGGAAATGGAGTTTTCACTTGCAACTTCCACGTATTTTCTGAACACCTTGGCCTTGATTTTTTCAAAGTCAAGGATTGTCAAAAATTATCTTTATATTGTGCTTGAAAACGTAAACAAAACTGCGATTACCTATCAACATATCAGCAATGTGACTTTGGATTTGGTGTCGTTTGCTTAAACATTTATTCTTCAATGAACTTTTGCAATTTGACCTATTTTTTTTTTGCTGTTGAAACAAAAAACTGAAAACAACACGCTTCCCGTTTATTTTGTGAATATTTGTAGATTTCGTAGTTCAATTCTCTCTATGTATATTTTGTAAGCGTATGAAGTAAAATTCTAATATCGCATTGTATCTTGTATCTTTAGCCTCACATTCCCATTCCAAAAGGCCAACAAGGGCGTTTATTAAGTAGCAAACTGGCAGGCTAATTTTTAGTGCTGCTTCAGTTGGCGTAGTTTCAGTTATCTCTTTATTTATTATTATTTTTCTTGATACTTTTTTGGGTCGATTCGGGGTGGAGGCATTGCTGTCGACGGCGTTGCTGGGGCGGAACGAACTGCCATATATACATACATATATAAACCTATTCACAACGATGACGTAGTCGCGATGACCGCATGGTCCAAAGCAAATACAACAACAACAGAAAAGCGGAGAGCAGCAAAAAATTTATATTTACCTAACAAATTCAATTCGACTGTAATTGGAAAAGCCAATGTTACAGTTGTTTTTTTAAATTTGTAAAAGTTTAAAAATGCAAGGAATGAAACTGAAAACGCGAAAAAATAGTTGGTTTTTTGTATATTTAAAAAAATGTAATTGGAAAACCCGTTATCTCAGTACTTGAGGTATTAAAACGAAAGAATTTAGAGAGAAATCGCTTTGAACATGGAAAATACATGTGAAAATGCGAGAAGAGCGCCAAAGTGGCGACGAATGAGGGAGAAGGCAAATGTAAAAAGAGCTCAAAAAGTGATCTCTTAAAGCTGCCCCACCTTGCACACGCACACACACACACACAGCACACACACACGCACACATGCCGTAACTCGCGCTCATTGTCTGCGCTCTTCTTCTTCACCATCTTCGCTAGCTGCTAGAAAACCTGTTTTAGAGCCACCAATAAAAATGAGAAGAAAAAAGAAACGGTGTGTGAAGTTAAGATTACGCCCTTGGACGAAAACTTGGTTCAAATCCATGATGCTTACCTTTGAGTCATAGAAGCCAGCAACAACAACAAGAAGTCGGGATTCTGCCAAAAAGCGCTCAAGAATCCCAAACTCAAAACTCAGGTAAAGAGGGAGAGAGGGCGACGCGACAGAGCGTGAGAGACGGAGCGGGAGAGCGAGTGAGAAGGAGCCACTCAAAACTCGCTTACGAACTTTTGGCTTCGTGGTAAATGCATATGTAGATACAAAAACAACTACAATACAAAAAAAAAAAAAAAAATACACAGCTTTAAATGTTGAGTTTTTGAGCGCTCTTGTACAGTTAATGTCGCCCGATGTTGTTGTTGTTGTTGCCTGGCTTTTGGCGTCCTCCGATTTCCTCTCCTTCTCCTTTTTTGTTGTCATCGTGTGCTTCGTACATTATTGCATTGCCATTCATTTTTATAATTGCATTAATAAACAACCATCAACTATTTAACTTTTTGGGTGCGGCACAGTGTGCAAAGTAAAATAACAACAAAAAAGAAGGTGGAAGTAACGCAAAGAGACAAACAATTTTGTTATGGGTGTTTTCTTTCGTTTGCCAGCCAATTTTTCTTATTTTTCTTTTTTAACAATTCCCAGACAAGCACACCCGCACACTCACACACACGAACGCACACTAAAAAAAAGTGAAGGCAGAGCTAAAACTAATTTATATATTGGCGGAGTAAAAAAGACAATTTTCTACGCGGCGTCAGTTCGTTTTTTTTTTTCTTCCTTTTTTACTATTTTATTTTCAATTCCCGGCGCTCACTAACACCGACGCACGCACACATACAGTGACAGTTATGTTATACACGCGAAATTGTTAGAAAAAAATAAATAGACTAAATGCTTAAACATCCAAATAACGATATATATTCGCACGACTACGAATATGTATCGCGGTGTTTTGGCGTAGTTTTCAGTAAATACGATTCGGCGGACATACACAACCAGCAGCGCGAATATTTTCTTTTCGAATGCGGAGAGGAACTGCCAGGTTACAATCGGCCGCACAGAAAGCGGGGTGGCATCGCCACAAACTGTTGTTAGGATATCGATATTTCGCGAAAAATACCAACTATCGATGGCATATCACCAATACGATATACTTTTTCAAAAATATTTATCGATGTTGACGAGTCAATCTATCGATAACCTTAACTTCATCACAGTGCTGCCTATAAAAGGAAAATAGCAGCAGTGCGTTTTGGTATCGATACAGAAGTGATGGACATCGATCGTTGAACTGGGCGCCAAAATATTCAAATTCAAGTGCTTTTACTTTTTAATTACAATTGTAATGAACAAACTGAACGGGAACGTTATAGATATATTGCACAGATATTGAAACGATTTTCTTTTTTTTCGTTTATTCCAACATATTTATTTAATTGGTATTATTGTTTCAAGTATTACACAATATTGATGCCTTTTGTCTTATGTTTTCAATTAATTTATTATTATTATTATTGTTATAACTAAATATCGATCACATTTCCTTTCAGAACGTCTCTCATTCTCATCGTTTTTATCCCTGTTCACTTTTTGATGCGGAGCAGAACGCACAAGCTCCTGCATACACACTTCCCATCGTCCTAACTAATTTGCAATTGAAAATATCGCATTTCGCGCTTTAATTATTGTTTTTCTTACTTTTTATCGCTCGAGGTCTGGGGGTGAAAATGGAAAGGGGACAATGAGAAAAGTAATAATAAAAAAAAAAACGCACAAAATCGAAAGCGAGACTTGCAAAAATCAAATCTGCGCTAATACTACATAATTGGTAACGTGTAAATTAAGAATTTAAGTAGGTTCTATTTACGTCTACATTTTGCAAATATTATTTGGCTGTTTAAGGTAAACCGGAGCGAAAGAATTAAGAACCGAAGTGGGAGGAAACAATTTGCGTGGCTTAAATGTTCTTTTAGTAATTCTTTGTCGTCTCTTTCACCCTATACAATGTATATACTTTTCTTTAAACGTGTATAATATTGTCCTAAAAGCCTTAAAAAATATGACGCAGCGGCCTGCTATTCTACATATGCCTATATATAGCCTGTATATATACCATAATCGCACATAATTTCTCGGTAGAGCAAAAGGAACACAAGCAAAAGCCATGTGAAGAAGGACACAATGTAAAATGATATCATATCTCTTAATATCTCTCGCCTCGAGCATTCGACATGCATCTTTAGAAGTTAGTTCGTTTTTATAGCGGTTTCCGTTTCCGTTTGGTGTTGGGAGGTTTTTCTTGGATTTTGGATTTTTGGATGGCTGGAGGCTATACATACGTACAATTTCTATGTTTTCTGTATATTTGTTTTAGGTACATAACAGTTCTTTATATTGTATGGTGTGTGGCTGCCTTGTCTATCGTTCTACATTACTCCGCCCTCCCTACTTCATTAGCTACTTTAGTTAGGTGCGTTGAGAGTCTCCATTCCGGATCCGTACTGCATTCCCACCGACATGGTGAAGAGCCACGCCACCGCCAGCAGACTGCTGCCGAGCAAATCGCCCAAGGCCGTCAGGTAGGGTATGGCCGAGTTATCCGGATCGATCTTCCATTTCCACATCGCGTGCACAATGATGTGGGCAATATACAGCAGCAGCATCACCTGAAACGATTGCAGTCAATTAGTGGGTGGATTACCGGAGGGTTTATAATGAATTATATCAGCTAGCTTCTTTATCATTTCAGTTACATTTATAACGTATTCGAAACTCACCTGAACCAAACTGGCGGTCAGATAGGAAAGCACAAACACCCAGGTGACCGTCGAGGTGCTATAGTTTATATAGTCCGCAGCAAAGATGAACAGAACATTGCCGGGAATGGACATGGCAATAAGTATCCTCGCTGTCTTCGCATAGGGAACTAAATGAAATGCAAATACACAAATGAATACGCGATTCAATTAAATCTGACTGAGACCTACCTCCTTTGAAGAGCGCCCGCCAAGGCCACTCGAAGATCTGCGTGTGCGGTGGTATAATCCCGATAATTGAGCTCTGGTGCAGCATTGTGGATATCTTGCTGGCCTGCACCGATACCAGATTGCCGCCAATCCCGTTGATGATCGGTTGAAACACAACGAATCCATTAAACACCTCGACGGCTGCATCCAACACAAGGCCACCCAGCCTGTAATGAGATGAGGGAATGATCAGTAATCGGTTCACAAAACAAACCATCAGTTGAATAGTAGTTGCACTTTAACCCATTGCAAATGATTCGTTTGACGCTTAACTCCCATTTTAATTTTAATTCGAGCCAACTCAAGTGTGTTTGTCTTTTGAAGTTCTATTGCCGCAAATTTCCCAGTCACGGCGCTTAATTACGCCCGGGAATTCAAGTCCTACTGCTGATTCTAATTATAAGAGCGCTTGACCTGTCGCCAAACACGAGTCATGGACATCCAACTGTGTGAATGCTTCCCATGGTCTTGGCTACTTATTACTTCCCACATTTATTTATATAAATAGCGTTCCGAATACAATCGCCTGGACATGATTTGCCATTAAATGAAACGGGCTGCTATATCTAAATATAGCGGGCAACTTGACGTCTTTCTGCTTATCATGGCACCATTTTTTGCTCCCTATTGTTATTTTGTACTTCGTTGCTTCTAAGACTCGAGAGTCCATCATCAGATCCGATCGAATTGATTTGATAGAGTGAGCAGCTCGCAGTTCGCAGTTCGCAGTTGGCATTACGCAGTACGTACCCACTTATGCAGAGGGCCGAGAGGACGGGAACCCATCCGCTCTTTAGCACCGGCCGCGTGTACTCGTTCCTCAGCACGATCATCACCCACATGGGCAACAGCACCAGGTAGCAGGTGACCACGATGAATGTGATCCACAGATGCGTTTCTGTGCGAAAAGTAACAAGCATTAGTTATATATACAGATGGATAACGCGGGAATATAGCAGCTTACTGATATGATCGTACAGCAGCGAGGCGATGAAGGAGAGCAAACTGATGGACACCACATCACCAATGGAGGCGGCCAACGGCGTGGCCAGGTTGTCCGGATTGAGGCGGTACTTCTGCGAAAACAGGATTACAGCCACCAAAACGAAGTCTAAAATTAAAGTATCGCCATTAATAAGTAAATATATAGTGGAATGGAAATGTAGCAGGTGCAATCCTACCCAGCACAAAGCACGACGAGGTGGCCGTGAACATGGCCGAGGCAGTCAGCAGCATCATGTTCTCGAAATAGAAGTCACCGGTCATGGCCGCACCCACGCTCACCGCAAACATGGCCACCAGAAAGGAGGCCACCGTCGCCTGGACCTGCACCAGTGCTATGTTCCCCACTATCATCCGTATCACGCCCTGTCTGCTGGTCATGTTCCCCAGGTTCACTTGCGTGGAGAGCCGCGATGCCAGGCACATGTCCAGGTTGCCCTTGAGGCCCAAAAGCGCCGGCACCAGGATGAACAGCTCGCTTACGTTCTTGAAGACATACCATTTCTGAAAGAAGAGGGTTGGAAAAATTAATGAGCGGCTCCCTTACTTGTTACAAGAACCCATTATATAAGTAGTTTTATTTTCATTCAGAACGTTATTTAATACCCTTCTCTAATGCCGTTTAAACGCCTTAATTGCGTTCCAAGTAAATATTTGCTTTTGGCCAGAGTGCATCGAACATATGACCACATTTATGACCGCCCATAAATCGCCTCGATGCCAGTCCCTCCAGATTTCACCAATATTTTCAGTTCATTTCGGGCATTGGCCGCCTGTAACTGGCTGGCTCTCCAGTTTGGCCCAGAACTTTTACCATCAATTAGCAGGCAAATTAAACATTTACTATCCTATCTAACACGCATGTACTACGCATATATTTCACAGCCATAAATAACGTTCCAGCAGGAATTGTGCCAATTCACTAAACACACAAATCGTGGGGAAAGGTTTAAAAATAGCCAAGCTCTGTCTGGTTTTTGTATGATTGAGTAGTCTTGAGAAGTCTCGAACGGATTATTATAGCATTATGCTTGGAGTACTGATTACTCAGAGCTTAGAGCTGATTTCGAATATTATCACGTGTCGCCGCACAGGATTTTTTATGAAGCAAAGCCATAACGAGTCCTTATCTGCATAATTGCTGTAATTTGTTGGTCTTATCAAAGGGTGACATATGCTTGCACGACATAACAATTCGATTAACCTGCAGATTTTGTTTGTTCTACTCTTTTGCCACACAATTTCACATTTTGCTACACATTTTCCCACACAAAAAGATGAATTGAGCTCAGATGTGCAATTAACTATTTTGCTATTAACTTTGTGCTTGACTTGGTGTAAAACCCATTTTAATGTCCCACTCCACAGAAAGCAAATAGCAAATTTGTACATTTTTACAATTTAATTTGGTGTAATTTACGCTGTCGTTTCTATTTGCCTTTTGTTAGGCTTGTCGGACTGAAGGGAGAATTACCTTAAACTGTATCAGTTTACCAAGATTATTATATTGCAATTTAATATATTTAAAGCTGTCCAATTGATGAATGCATACGAATACTCCGAAGCAGGGGAAATACATTTGTTTCCATAATTAAATGAGCAACCAATCGAACATATTGCGATATGTTTGCTTTTATTTCATATTCTACGTTATCATTCTAGTTAGAAGACTCACCTCAACGCGTCCCAGGACAATGCCAGCTCCGATGGTGCCAATCCCGGCCAGAAAGAACGGAATGGAGACCTGCAGCAAGATTGTTGTCCACTTTTCCTGCTTGATGCCGGGCCGATTGAGCGCCAACTTCTCCTCGGAGCTGCCATTGATGCCGGCAATGCTGGATGCATCCGCTGCCACCAGGGCACCGGATCCGATACCACCATTGCCACCGCCACCGCCACCGCCTCCGCCACCTGCTCCTCCAGCTCCTCCTGCACCGCCGCCGCCGCTCACCGCTCCAGGATCCGGTTCGGAGGATGCTATGGACGTCGTGATGATTGAGCTTAGTGAACCGGTTGTCGAATGTGGTAGGCCCGACAATTTCTCATTGTCGGGATCTGGGT